GCAAAACAAGATGTTCCTCTCGGTGCTTCTTGAAAAGAACTTCAGGACCCTGCGATGCTATGCAAGAGAAGAGGAAGAAAAGAAAAGCAGCTGAAAACTGATGCCCACCAGAAAAATTCCAAAGTTGTGATGTCCCTGGCATGAAGCCAAATAGCTCATGAAGCTCCATGTTCTAGTCCTGTCTCTGGGCCCCAGAGACAGCAGTGAGAAAGTATCTGAGAAGAAATGCACTCCCCAGAGTTACAAGTCTAGCTCTGTGCTTTGTTATTTGAACCACAGAAATGCCATCTGCTTCCAACTGATGCTTATTTATGTGGCTTAAGAAAAGGCATTTAAAGATTTTACACATAAGGCATTCAACATGAGACATTATAAAATGAAAACAATGTTGTGTGCATATAAATGTGTGTGTAAAAGTTGCAATTTAATTGGACGGACTACACATTTTCACATTGCCTGAAGCAATCTTGGTTTACTGCTGTTAGCCCAAATGGAAGTATTAATGGCACTCCTTTCAAGTCCCAAAAATGTTCTGCACTGGACAATCAGTTACCCAGTCACCTTCTCTACCGGTTATGCCAAATAGTCCTGGCATCTCAGCACTAGTTACAATGATTTTGTTTTACAAAACGTTTTAATTAAAGCAGTTTAAAAGTAAGAGTTTCATGGTAAAACTAATAAGGCCAAAAAAATCACAAATATTAAAATAACGCATAATAACCAAAAAATCAAGGACATAAAAATGACAGATGTTTAAAGAAAAGCCTGTCCCCATGTTATCATTTTCAAAGAAGTAATGAAATATGTTTTAGATCCAGGTACATGTGTCTTAGTGTCAGGGTGACCTTAGAACATGGAACTTGTTGACAGGGATTTATACAATGTCATCACATGGAACTGTTTAATAATGAGCTTGCAATCGATACGAGGCTCTTCAGGCAAATGAACAAATCCAACAAAACCCAGTGGTAACAGAAAAGACACAGGACACCCCTCGGCTAGACCAGGAAAGACCCACACGCTCCCCAAGGAAACAATGGTGATTGCACTGAGCCTGAAAAGATGAAAAGGCATGGGAGAGGAGGACAGGAGGGAAAGGGGAAAGATTCTAGACCAAGGGGTCATCTGCAAACACCAAAGATGTGGAAAATCTTTGGGGCTGGTGCACTGACTGGAACACAGCCCTAAGTGAGGTGAATTTTATTCTTCTTTAATTTTATTTTATGTAAAGATGCTCTTAAGACGGCAGGAGACAATGAGTGCTTTCGATGTAAGGGCAGAATCTGCACTTCAGAAAGGCCACGGTGGGAGCAATAGGAAAGACGGCTTTGAGGCTGGAGATAGATCAATGAGACGGCCACTAGAGAAATTCAGGTTAAAAGAACCATTTCAAGGGCTTAAGTAAGAAGAGAGTGCATGCATAGTTGGTAGATAGTTCAAAAGGCTTGATCGAAAGAAATCGATTTAGAAATCACCAATATTTTAAGTAGTTGAATTGTAAACGATGTGATCTGCCAGAGAGAAACTATTAGAAGAGAAGAAAACCAGCAAGCTAGCATTGGAGCGACAGACCAAGCGTTCCAGTCGTTTTTCCCATCCAGCCTCTCTACCGCAGTGGTCCGCCGCTGGGCGGGGCAGGGCCGCGGCCCCTCCAGGCCGCAGGTGTGCTGACCCGGTCTGCACGTCTACATCTTATCAGTGGACACCAGACCTCAAAGGTCCTCTGTGCAATTCCGTCACTTCCCCAAGCGGCTTAAAATCCAACCAATCCAACCGGCGGAGCGGAGAGCGGTGCGCATTCTTCAGACATAGGTCTGAGCTTACAATTTCTTGGTAAGGCATTTGTCGATGAGGCTCCGAAGCACAAGAGGACAGGGGCTGTGCTGCCAGCCTGGGAAACAGAGGGTGGACAGAGAGCGGGGGACCGAGCTGCGGGGAGCGGCGGGGAGCGGCGGGGAGCGGCGGGGAGCGGCGGGGAGCGGCGGGGAGCTATGGGGAGCTGCGAGGAGCTGCGGGGAGCTGCGGGGAGCTGCGGGGAGCTGCGGGGAGCTATGGGGAGCTGCGAGGAGCTATGGGGAGCTGCGGGGAGCTGCGAGGAGCTATGGGGAGCTGCGGGGAGCTGCGAGGCGCTATGGGGAGCTATGGGGAGCTGCGGGGAGCTGCGAGGAGCTCTGGGGAGCTATGGGGAGCTGCGGGGAGCTAAGGGGAGCTAAGGGGAGCTGCGGGGAGCTGCGAGGCGCTATGGGGAGCTATGGGGAGCTGCGGGGAGCTGCGAGGAGCTCTGGGGAGCTATGGGGAGCTGCGGGGAGCTAAGGGGAGCTAAGGGGAGCTGCGAGGAGCTATGGGGAGCTATGGGGAGCTGCGGGGAGCTATGGGGAGCTGCAAGAAGCTATGGGGAGCTATGGGGAGCCATGGGGATCTATGGGGAGCCATGGGGAGCTGCGAGGAGCCATGGGGAGCCATGGGGAGCTGCGGGGAGCTGCGGGGAGCTATGGGGAGCTGCGGGAGCTGCGGAGAGCCGCGGGAGCCATGGGGGCCGGGGGAGGGAGGTCGCCCCCAATCTGCACCGGGACACTGAGCCCTTCGGCACTGCCGTTAATCTCGGAGGAGGGGTGTGAGCTGGCTTCTCGGCCTGCTGATGAGTGCAGTGGTCTGAAGGGAGATGTACGCAGGGAAAGGCTTGGCACACGGGGACCACATCTGTCTTCATGAAAGGCTTTGGGGGAACTGGAAAGAATTGCGTTCGGGACCTCCGAGCAGGAGAAGCAAGGACATTTCATGTCTGGTTCAGTCCTGAGCTATTTCAGGGTTGGGTCAGTAAATACCCCTACATGGAGAAAGCTGAAGGATGAACAGTAATCTCCGGGAGAAACAGAGGTTTGTTTTAAAGTAAGCTACAGAATATTTTGGAAAGACAGTAAAAATATACAGGAGATTGAGCCCAGAGCATAAAGGAGAAAGAATGGAAGCCAGAGATGGTCTGGGGACAAGCTGTCTGATCGTCCACCGACTGGCGGTTTTCCAGGATGTCAGATAAAATGGGAAATGATAAAAAAAAAACCATACATACCATAAACACTTCATATAACTTCAAGCATAAATGTGCACACATGTGCCCATCTTTTGATGTAAGGCCGGGCCTGTTCTCTACATATGGATCCGCTGATTGGAGTTATGCCTCTTCTGTCTTACATAAACACATCCTTCATCTATGATTTTCAGTTTTCCTCTCTTTAAAGTAGAAAGAGAACCTGAACCCACTCATCAAAGAATCGGGTGCAGAGTTCACCTGGATTTTTATAACACCCGCCCTAGCAACACCGTCCTAGGCACATCTCACCAAAAGCAAAGCCTCTTTGCAGCTAACATTTGTGAAGACTTTCCAAGAGAGTCAGCTCAGTTTCCACAGAACCAAAACTCAGTCTTTTTGCATGTGATCTGTCCATGGGTTCTCCCTGTAAAGTATATAAAGTAAGAAATAAAGCTAACTAATTAGCCTTGAAGACAAATACAATCTAACTGACCCTTGCAAAGAAGAGAGGATAACTGGGGAAGGCCGACACTGAGGATCTAAAGAGAGGCCTCCTGGCCAAACACAGCTGGGTGCTAATGTAGCAATCCACAGAGCTAACAGGGCGTGCAGTATTGGTTAATCCTGTCACTCCATTAAGAGATCAATGGAAGGAGCTTTAAATGAATGGTGACAAGACAGAAGAGCAAGCAGGGAGCAGGAAGTGAAGTTTTAGGAGCTGGCTTCGAGCTCCACTGCAGTGGAGTGCTGGTAATGAAGATGGGCTTTGGCTTTTCTTCCCTGAGTGCTTTCTCTTTGTTCCACAGCTCCTTATCAACTAGAGTTGTTTGTGGTTTGGGGATAAAAAAAAATGAGGAGTTAGGAAACCAAGAAGAAAAGCAGAACCACCAAGAGAAGGGGTCTAAATTTCCAGTTGCTTCTGGTCCCCAAGATGTTCTGATTTGTTCCTTTCCTTTCCGTAGTTAGGAATCCAACTGCCTCCCCCGTTCATTGTGCATGCACTCTTTCTTTCCACCTGTTTTTCTGCGAGGTAATGGGGAAATTCACAGTCATTCACATTCACTTTTGTCTCTTTATCCCTAGTAGTTTTTCAAAGAAGTCACTGCCACAAGCCATATAGAAAGAGAAGGGCCAATGAATGTTGAAGAAATGTCCATAGGCCCAGGGCCAGCTGTGATGGGGTCAGGCCTGCCCTATCCTAGATATTTTCTTTTGTTTTCTAGTAGTTTCTAGTAGTTTCTGTAGTCCCAGGAGTTCAGAATAGGTTCTCCATATTCCACAGTGAACAGTCTCCAATTTGGGAACTCTTTCCCCCATCACTCTACAACATAGACTCAAAAGATATTCAGAATAGAGAATGCAGGCTGTTGCTACAGTGCTACCCATGAGCCACCTCACTGTGCTCACTCCCTTGATTACGCAGCCTGTGAGGGGCCTGTAGGCTTCAGACATCATCTTGTTTGTCTGGTCCTCACCGAGGTGGTGTTATTACTGCCATCATCACAGATAAATAGCAAAACCAGGGAGAAATAGTAGGATGCCTGATGTCCCATAGAAAGTGTCACGAGGCGAGATTTGAATCTAGGAAACGAGGTCTCAGCGGCTGGGCTCTGCACCAGACGTGACTCTTTCTCAGAGTAGAGCCCTTTACATCATTTTCACACCGGTGATACCTTTACCTAAGAGTTGCCCTCATCCACACCACAGGAAAAGTTAAATGTCAATGGATTGCTCTAAAGTCGTGTTTTTCTACTTAAGACAATAAAGAACAAATGCAGTATGCTCTTTCTGGTCCACAGGAAACCCTCCCGGAGGAGAGGACAGTGTGCCTGCTCAGCACAAGTGTGCAGATCCAGTTCCCACTCCAGCCTGGCCACAGTCCTTCCCCAGGACAGTGGAGGGGTCAGGCGCCGGCAGGGGAGGGTGGGGAAAGCAAACACACACTCACAGGGCGATAGCTCGCACTTACCTTTTTGGTGCACTTCTTGACAGTGCTGATCAGCTCCTGCATCACCAGGTCCACGCTCTTCAAGGAAGGTCCTTTCAGCTTCACAATCTGTTTTTTGACTATGGCTTCAAAGGCCATGTCTGGAGTAAACAGGCCTGTCCTGGGAGGAAGAAAGCGAGCATCACATTAGGTTTAAACAATCAAGAAGGAGCCGGCGTGTTCACACGGACAGGCCGTTTAAGTAAGCATGCCACAGCCCAAGTTTGAAAGTTAAGCAGCAAGTTATTCTGCACATAGTACCATTACACTAGTAGCGCCAGTAGAGCTGAATGAACCATAGTAAATTCTGGTCTGCGGGAAAGTAACATAAGCTAAAAGCAATATCCAAAGGCTGAGGTGGAGCTCCGTGATGGAGCATGTGCCTCTCACGTTCCTGGAGCCCCAAGCTGACCAGATTTGGGTAGCAATCTGTCCAAACACGAAAGCTGCAAGGAGAGAGACGCTTGAACTCTGAGCAAGGGCAGGGACTACAGACCGCCAGCTCTGGGTTTGTGCATGTTTATCCTCTTGTTCCTAAGCCCTGCTCCCTCCCCACTTAGTAAACTTCTCTTCATTGACACCTCTTTAGGGACCTTTAGCGCTTCTCTACACCTGCCTTACTCAGCATCCTTCCTGTCACTTTTCAAATCCCCACCCTTCTGTGCTTCTGACTGTAGCAGTCACTCCACAATTGTCCTTTCTCCACATTGCAAATGGAATGAAAGTGAAGCCGCTTAATTCTGAAATTTTCCCACTCTTTGAACCTACTCTTTTGAAGTTCATTTCCCATCCAATTTATCCTACATTTCTGTGAATTTCTCTTTATGTATAATCAAGTATTCTTTGCCCTTGGCGAGCTGTGCATTGTATCCACTCCATTAACCTGTACAAATTATTCCTGTACGTCCAGTCCCAGCTCAGAGGCAACCACACCTACAGCTCCAAACCTTTTCGAGTTCTGCCACTGAGAGCTCTTTCTTCTCAGCCCCACATTCAGTTCTGCACTGCAGTAAACAGGGCACGCATTCTATTCCCATACCTACACTGCAGGAGTAGTTACCGTGCCCCACAAGGACAGCCGCCCTCTCCTGCTCATCGCTGATGGTGTTAGCAATGAGAAAGGCAAAAGATCTCTATCTTCAGATCTTTCATAGACAAAGATGGCTTCTACCAATCCAATATCTAACAGAATCAAATGGAAAATTTGAGGGTGGGTTATTTCCAGTTTTTTAATTTATAATTTTGTCTATTTTATTGCAAAGGTGATTACAGAGGGGTTACATAAGTAAGGAAATGAGTGCATTTCTCTTTGCAGTCTTATTTTATTTTATTGTAAGGTTGTTGTCAGAGGGTTATAGTTATGTAAGTAAGGAAATGAGTGCATTTCTTATTGAACATTGTTGCCCCTCCCTTGTTTTCTCCCACTTTCCCTCTCCACCCCCCAACTTGTAAATTTCAACTGCAACATAGTGTCTTGTGAGTATTGCTGTTGCATTGGTTCACCCCAAATGGAAATTTTTTTAATTAAGTATATTTAAGAGACTAAATAATCACATCAGTGGCTGTCTCCTACACAAGATACTATACTTTTCTTTGCTTAGAAGTGGCCACAGACAAGATGGCATCTCCCTCAAATGAAATCATCTGTGATCCAGGCAGCCTGTCTGATTATCTTGAATTTGGGATGCCAAATGCAACCTACAGTCATTAGACTAGGTGTGGCCTTCTACATACAAACTCAAGAGATGCATGTCCCTGTCATTGGACCGTAGTTCTCTAAAGAAAGTGCTATGGACTGAACGTGTGTCCGTCCCCCTCCATGTGCTGTGATTAGGGGGTTGGGCTTAGAAGGTTGCAGGGTAGAGCTCTCATGAATGGAACGAATGTCTTCAGGAAAGAAAGTAAGAGAGCTTGCTAGTTCTCCTTCTGTCCTGGGAAGAAACGATGAGAGAGGAGCAGTCGGGAACCCGCGTCTCATCAGAACTGACACGCGGGGCTTAGACTTCGCCTCCAGAGCTGTGAGGCAGCTTGTATTTACTTTTCTAAACACCCCGTCTATTATTATACTATCATTTCCAGTCTAATTTATCCCAACAGCAGGAAAAGACAATGGAAAACAACTTAGAATAATCTCTCTCCGAACCAGATCCCCCAGCCCACCTCCCAGCCTCCTCTGCGGGCTCAGCCACACGCCTCAGGGAAGTTAAACCCCAGCTCCCAGCCCTGTCACACTTCCCTGCCATTATGCCTTCGTCTCCGTCACTCCTGCTCAGCCTCACCAGAGGCCCTCGCCATTCCAGCCTCAAGCACTGCCAGCACACCCTTCCTTCCTCTCGGTGCACTGTGTCACCACGGCACACGCATGCACATGAGTGTGCGCGCACACACGCACACACACACACACACGAGCACTGGTAGATGTATAACACACCACAGCATCTTGAAAGTATTCTCTGAAAAAGCAAGTGTGGTCAGTTCAACATCGACCTTCATTGAATCTTGCTGTATCCTTGATCCACCATTCTCTGTATAAATAATGACTGCTGATGAGCACGTGAGATCCTGGGCTGTCACAGGATCTGCTCATCTGTGTGAAGACCAGCGCACCTTCTGTTGTTCACAGGAAGCACTTCGAGTGCACTTTGTTTCTTACTGCCACCTTGATCCTCCGCTCAGATAAGGGGGGCCTACTTTACCGGGGACTTACAAATACCCCTTTGCCTTCGGGAGCCTGAAGGCAAGGGAAAGGGGAATACTTGCCTGATGCCATGGATGTTTTTGATCGCATAGCTTATTTCTCTTCGCAGTTCCTTCTCATTGAACTCCATCTGCAGATGCAAAATGAGCCACAGTTAACACTTAATTCCAGTCTAAGCATATTTTATATATCACAGAGAATAACTTGACTTTGTGACTAATAAATGGATATTCATATTTCTCCTAAGCTAAGCCCAGATGGCCAAAACATCTGTTTATACAGAGTTCAAGCACTTCCTAGAGCATTAGGGACTTCTGGGAGTTTCAGTGTAGCATATTTTAACTCTAATATCTATGTGTATAGAATGCCTTCTGGGCATCCATCTACCCACTCGGTGACACACATCACTCTTCACGAGGACACGGGTAAATGACGACGGAGGATGGACCACAGCCACACAGCGGTCCTGAGACGCAGCATGGCAGTCTTTTCTCCCTGATCATTTTAATCTCCTGGTTCAAGGCCTCTGTATAAAAGGAAATTAATAATATCCCACCAAGCCAACACAGAATAGATTACAAGTAGTCCCAGAAGTCCAAAGCACCATAAATCCACTCGAAAGAACAAAATGTTACAGAGCTTAATCTTGGAAAGCAGGTCCAGAGCATAACAATTCAGCCCTGACTCTGAGATCTCTCTTCCAGCTCTGCCGGCTTCCTCCTTCATCCTCTGTGCCTCAGACTTGCCTTTCCTGTACCTTGGCTCCCCCCTTCCAACACCCCCCCACACACCATTGCTCCTGGTTTTCTCTCCGAGTACCCTCGGCCTACCCGAGTCTTACTTCTTATCTACTCACCGGCCCTTCCAAACTCAGATCAGAAGCCTGGCTCCCTGCAGACGTGGTTATGATTCATATCTGTGGGCTTTGTTTCCATAGCACCCTGGGCTGAAACTGCCACTTTACTTAGCACATTTTAATAAAATCATCTATTTATTTATCTGTCAGCTTCCCACACCAAGATAAAAGCACCCACCTCTTTGGGTGTGAGCCAAACAGGATGGAGTTTAAAAGAACTCAACTTCCTGTCGGGCATTTCACCCTTAGCAAGCAGAATTCTCATTTCACACACCCACAACAACATATCTTTTCCTCAGTTTCCCTCATCTGATGATACAGTCATCCATTCACCTACAAAAGCCAAAAGCCTGGGAATTATCTCAAAGTGATCTTTGTTTGCTGTCCAATCCAAGCCTTCAGTCTTACCTCCACAACTCTAAACTCACCCATTTCTTTCCATCTTCTCTTATGACACCATTTTACTAGAAGCAAAAGAAATCTAAGTTTTGGCGCCCCTCCTTTGTACGAGACTCCATCTAAATGCTGTGGGTTTATGGTTTTGTACCTGGGCCTCCGGGTTACGAAGCTTTGTCCCTGAAGGAAGTGGCCCCTGCCTGGGCCCTGTTGTTCCAACTTAGCTATTCTTTTCCCCTCTCAGTCCGGCAGGCATAGTGCTCCTTTAGCATGGGGTCTCTCACACACACAGAGTTCCTTTTGCGGGACCCTCGCTTTGCTCCAACCTACAGGGCCCTGGGTGAACCAGTCAGCTCTGCACGGGCCAGACACATTCCTGCTCCTGACTCTCAACGCTGCTGCTTTTCCCTGCAGGGGCCCACCTCTGCCCCCTCCCCGCCCCCTCCGCAGAGCGGACGGCCTGGCTTCCGAGTCCTCCTGCTCTCCCTGCTCTCCTCGCACCCCTTACTCAGGCAGGACTTGAATAAACAACTGATTAAAAGAGCACTCGCATCACACCACCAAAAACACTATGCTGTCTGCGTCTCGTGTCCCCTGTTTACCACGGGACAAATTAGGACGCCCTTTTGTCTGATCACTGGCACTTCGAACCTTGGTACACACGAATTGCATGAGACGTATTTTTAAATTCACTAGATAACATGTGAACACTGTGGACAACTCAATTCGTGTTTCTTAAACTAACTTGAAATGTTAATTCCCGTGAAATGATATCAGGAAGTATTCGTGCCCAAAGACTTATCTTCGCTTCATACCACCCATATACGATTGTATCAAGAGATTCGTAAAAAAGAATGTGCAAATGAAGTAGAATGAGGGGGAGAAAGGGGTACTCAGGACAAACCTTTACTATCTCGAAGGGAAAGCGTTCGTGGAAAATGCGGTTGATTTTCGCGCCTCCGGAGAGCTCCAGGGTGTCAACTTGATCACCTGAGCCCTCAATTCTCTTCTCAAAGTCCACCGCAAATTGCTGGACCATCCTGTGGTTGTAAGGGAGAGATGAGGTCAAGTCGAAGCTCTGGTTTTGCACTCCTCCTTTCAGGCACTCTGGGTCTTCCCTAGGAGTCTTCCCTGGTGTTCTCAGTGGCACCCACTGGTTCAACTCTAGAATATCGTAATGTGAGTACACATTCTGGAGATTGATTTTAAGGCATTTAACTAGAGTAAATATCTTTCTTGAACTGTGTTCTGACCTCATTTGTTAAGTAAGCCCTTGAATGAAAATGGAATGTTGTACATGTCATTACAGTCACATCCTCACATGAGCCTAGCAGACACCCCACCTGCCCACTGAGACCCCCACTCCTCCCCCCCGGACCTCAGCCTTGGTGTCTCTCACACAAGAAACTTCAGTGCTAGTTCCTGGGAGCCACTGACCCATGGACCCAATTATATACTGGCCAATCATTTCCTCTCACCCATCCTGAATTCAACACACCGAAATCGTGATCCACTCAACTTCTCTACTCTCCCTTTGGCTTGGCCGTCGGCAAGCCATCCTGGGATCACCAATGCTACCTCTACATGTGGGTCCTGGGATCACCGATGCTCCCTTAATGTCGATCCTGGGATCACCGATGCTACCTCTGGAGGTCCATCCTCAGATCACCGATGCTACCTCTAGAGGTCCATCCTCAGATCACCGATGCTCCCTTAATGTCGATCCTGGGATCATCGATGCTACCTCTGGAGGTCCATCCTCGGATCACCGATGCTACCTCTGGAGGTCCATCCTCGGATCACCGATGCTACCTCTAGAGGTCCATCCTCAGATCACCGATGCTCCCTTAATGTCGATCCTGGGATCATCGATGCTACCTCTGGAGGTCCATCCTCGGATCACCGATGCTACCTCTACATGTCGGTCCTGCTTTCCCATTCATCCTTGTGAGGACCAGATCTCACCCCAGCTCTACGACACCAGTCTTTGGCCCCTAACATCCTTGACACCTGGCTCTGTCCTTGTTCTTCAGTGGATTCCCACGTTTGAAACTAAAGCCAAACTCAGCCCACGGCCCAGGATTCTGCGTGCCCACCCCACCTCGCACTGCCCGGCCAGCCAGGCAGCCGGCGGGAAGCTCTCTGCTCTCCCCAGCGGGCCGCGCCGAGGCTTTCGCACTCAAGGCTGCCGCCTCTCCCCTGGCTGCTCTGCCGGCCACTTTCCATCTGCCTTTAAGACTCAGCCAAGCGTCAGGGTTCCCCAGAAACCCGCCTCATCCCTCCCCCGGCCTTCACACTGCCGCGCCCAGCAGAGTCGTAGCAGGCAGCATTGCTCTTGTAAAGGCGAGGACCACGCATCGGACTCACCTCTGCTTGCTAAAACATATAGTCTGCTTTAATCCGACACCTGAAGACCCCCTCAGTGAGATGAACACATACAGTTGTTTTGATCTGCAATTATTAGGCTTAGAAACTCTAATTTTGACATCTGGAATTGTTTCAAATTCAGACTCTCACAGGAAAATCATTCAAGCTATGTAAGAGTTTTATCTTCTCATTGACTTTCATTAAAATGATGAGGAATTAAAAGTAATTACAAATTATTTAGGGGAAAAATCTAGGATATAATTGGACTTAGCTGTACCTGTGCATATGTTAGTGGCATTTTTTAATATGGCTTGGCAGCTATAATGATATGTAAACATTTTACAAAATTCAGCAGCTCCTTCTTACCTGCACAGCCTACAATAAGCTGTGCGCAAATGCACACTGCTTCTCTCCCTCCTTATACCTGGCAAGTTCCTCTCACGGGCCGGGATCCTATGCATCATTTTCTCTGCAAACTTATAGCTTTCTTCCTATGTAATTGCTTCCTTATCTGAACTCTTACCATTTTCAACATACCATAACAGCATTTACCAGAATCTAGCACAATTGTTCATGGGACTCTATTTCCCTACTTCTCAGCAAAGTGTCCTATTCATTGTCCAGTCTTTGGTGGACAACACAGAAACAGACTCTGAGCATAGCACAGGAAGAGACAAAAGCAGATAGGAAAAAAAGCAGTAGGCCAGTAAGGTAGGAGGGAAAGGGGGAGTGGGAGAGAGGAAAGAAATGGATCTGCAAAACCAGGGCCAAAGAAAGAAGCTGAATCAGCACTTTGGTCAACAGCCTACCAGTGTGCCATGCTACGCCCAGAGGGCCACAAAGGGTGGGTTTGCAGTTAGATACTAAGATAATGACCTAGCCCTGAATACAAGTAGCTTTCTTTGCTCTGCTTTTTTAAGAGTTTAACCATAAACAACAAGAGAAAGGGGAAACAAAGGAGGAGGCGACAATGCTTGATAAGGAAAGTGCTCATTACCTCGCCCATGTATTGTAACCCTCTGACGGGATTTTCACAGTAAAAAAATATTAAGGTCAAGGTTTTAGGGAAAAAAAGAATAAATGAGCTAAGAGTTGTACCTACTTTTAAAAAAATCTTTCCATGGTGTCATTACTTGTACTCATTTTTATTTATTATTGTCAAGTAGCTGCATTCAATTTACCATGGTCATTGTGTGTATAATACATCTTGACCAGTGTCACCTCTTCCATCATTTTCTCTCTCTCTCTCACACACACACACACACACACACGCACACACACGCACACACACACACACACACACATACACACACACGCGTGCACATACACACATACACACTCACACACACACACGCACACACGCACACCACACACACACACACACACACACACGCCAACACTCCTACCCCATCCCACCATCATCTCAAGTTACCTAGCTCCATTTTCCTAAGTCCACTGAGTTCTGTCACGGTGCTACCCATGGTATCATTTCCTAAGTCCACTGAGTACTGTCACGGTGCTACCCATGGTATCATTTCCTAAGTCCACTGAGTTCTGTCACGGTGCTACCCATGGTATCATTTCCTAAGTACACTGAGTACTGTCACGGTGCTACCCATGGTATCATTTTTCAAATGAGTAAAGAAGAGGTGACGCACTGGAGATGTTAGTTGGGTCATTGGGGGAAAAATGTATTAAATTTTGTGTTTTAAATGTCAACTTATGAATGCTTTGTTTCTCTGTTGAGAAACAAGTATACCATAGGAGGCATCACACATCATCTTCACAAGCCAACCTCAGCGAGGTATCCTGGGATTTAAGTGGAGAAGTCCTCAGTTGACAGGACCCTAAGAAAGGCTACCGCATGGAGATAAATAGATTAGGCCCGGGACTGAGGGAGAGATCAGAGGTGTCAGAGAACGGGCCGTCAATTCTCTACCCACCCTGCGATCCTATCCTAAGTCTCCGCAGGGACTCATCCACTAACCTCAGGATAAGATAAAAGAGCATAAAGGCAGGAAAAATGCTTGGAAATTTTTAAGTTTGTATTTTCAAAGGGCCATATTGAAATAATCAGCAAAAAGGAAAGAGCGGCTGGGTGCTGGTGGCTCACGCCTATAATCCCAGCTATTCAGGAGGCTGGAGATCTGAGGATCATGGTTTGAAGCCAGCCCCAGGCAGAAAGGTCCCTGTGAGACTCTTACCTCCAATTAGACCACTCAAAAACTGAAAGTGGAGCTGTGGTTCAAAGTGGTAGAGTGCTAGCCTTGAACAAAAGAGCTCAGGGACAGCACCCAGGCCCTGAGTTCAAGCCCCACAACCAAAAAACAAAGGGAAGAGCAATTTAAATGTGGCCTCACTGTCTGTGTTTCCCACTCAATTGTCTAGAGATCAATCACATGGAGCAAGTGAACTGAAAAAGATTAGGACAAGTGTTATCTGCAGAAATGCTGCAAGACGAGGCATTCTTCCATCTGTGTCGACCCACTTCTAAGACAGGCAACAGAACCTGTGGAGTTACCACTGCTCCTGGCTGAACCCGGGGGGATGGGCAACCTCTGCCTTCAATCCTCGAGGAAATGGAAGGGCTCGGGGATACCGGGTCACATCCTGACAGCATGGTACCCAGTTACTTCATTCAGTCCCAGAAAACAGAATGACCAACAGACCGAGGTGAATGCAACTGAAGCAATGACTTGAAAATAAACCTTTGTGTACCATGTGGAAAGAGAACAAGGAAGCTCCGTGAGGGGTCTGGGGGGGTCAGAGCTGGGGGGCGCATCTGATCAGACACACTGTAAGTCAGCACCGACGGCTGTGCAACAGGAACCAACCGATGCTCCCACGGCCGGAGGAGGAGTAACAGAGAGGGACCTACTGCAGCAGTGCCTTGGTCTTCCTGGTGGGGTCTTCTGGTTTGAAGTTTTTGTAGGCTTCCACTTCATGTTCGATGGACAGCAGCTGGCCCTGGAGTTTGTTCCTGAAGTTTGGCAGGGTATCTCGAATGTGGTTGGTGAGTTGCTAAATAAACAAAATAAAATCATAAGTGCAGACACAGGACTGAGGGAAGATGCCGGCTGCTTGCTGCGTCGTTCAAGCCCTGGAAACCAAGCGTGTGTTCCAGGCCGACCCCCGTGGGGGGCGGGCGCAGAAGCATCACGACAGGCTCCGAACCCCAGGCACCGGACATTCTTTGGGGTTTTCTCTCTATTCCTTAAAAAACCCTAAACTATGACTGAGTTACGAACGATGCCACCGCTCATCTACCAGCTCCTCTGCCTCACAGCGAGGAACCGTACAGCTCAGTGTGGTAGAAATGCAAGAACTTGCAATCCTAGCTACAGAGGCAGCTCAGACCGGGAGGAACACGGCGCAGCCCAGCCCAGCCCAGGAAAAAATGTCCATGAGACTTCATCTCCATGGAAGAAGCTGGTGTCATGGTGCATGCCCGCCACCCCAGTGCAGCAGGAAGCATGGAGCAGGGAGATGATGGTCCGGGCACAAGCCTGGGCAAGAAAGCAAGGTCCAACCAGTACAAAAACAGGGAGGGGCTGCAGGCGTGTTCAGTACATCTGCCTAGCAAGCAGCTCTGAGATCCAACGCTTAGAACCACCCAAAAAACAGAAGAAAACTCTGAATTAAAAGAAGGAATAAACATAATACGCTTGACCTACGGTAAGTAATAAACTCAGAAACAAAGCAGGTCATGTAAATATAAAAGCACGGGAAAAAGAAAAGTATTTTACAAGCAATAAGAATTCATCTGTTTTAAACCATCTTCATGTATACTTGATCCTGAATATTTGTATTCATTAAATCTATCGTGACTTAATTGTCAGTGGTTTCTGGCTTCATAGCTGACCCGTAACAGGTGTGAGCTGTGAGTGCACAGGTGTGAGCTGTGAGCGCGCAGGTGTGATCTGTGAGTGTGCAGGTGTGAGCTGTGAGTGCGCAGGTGTGAGCTGTGAGTGCACAGGTGTGAACTGTAAGCAAGTGCGCAGGCGTGAGCTGTGTGTGCAGGTGTGAGCTGTGAGCGCGCAGGTGTGAGCTGTGAGTGTGCAGGTGTGAGCTGTCAGCGTGCAGGTGTGAGCTGTGAGCGCACAGGTGTGAGCTATGAACGCGCAGGTGTGAGCTGTGAGTGTGCAGGTGTGAGCTGTGAGCGCACAGGCGTGAGCTGTGAGTGCGCAGGTGTGAGCTGTGAGCTGTGAGCGCGAAGGCGTGAGCTGTGAGTGCGCAGGTGTGAGCTGTGAGTGCGCTGGTGTGAGCTGTGAGTGCGCAGGTGTGAGCTGTGAGCACACAGGCGTGAGCTGTGAGTGTGCTGGTGTGAGCTGTGAGCGCGCAGGTGTGAGCTGTGAGCGCGCAGGTGTGAGCTGTCAGCGCGCAGGTGTGAGCTGTAAGCGCACAGGTGTGAGCTGTGAGCACGCAGGCGTGAGCTGTGAGTGCACTGGTGTGAGCTGTGAGTGCACAGGTGTGAGCTGTGAGCACGCAGGCGTGAGCTGTGAGTGTGCTGGTGTGAGCTGTGAGTGCGCAGGTGTGAGCTGTGAGCGCGCAGGTGTGAGCTGTCAGCGCGCAGGTGTGAGCTGTAAGCGCGCAGGTGTGAGCTGTCAGCGCGCAGGCGTGAGCTGTGAACACACAGGTGAGAGCTGTGAGTGTGCAGGTGTGAGCTGTGAGCGCGCAGGCGTGAGCTGTGAGCCCACAGGCGTGAGCTGGGAGCGCGCAGGCGTGAGCTGTGAGTGCGCAGGCGTGAGCTGTGAGCACGCAGGTGTGAGCTGTGAGTGCGCAGGTGTGAGCTGTGAGTGCGCAGGTGTGAGCTGTGAGCACACAGGCGTGAGCTGTCAGCGCGCAGGCGTGAGCTGTGAGTGCGCAGGCGTGAGCTGTGAGTGCGCAGGTGTGAGCTGTGAGTGCGCAGGTGTGAGCTGTGAGTGCGCAGGTGTGAGCTGTGAGCGTGCAGGTGTGAGCTGTGAGTGCGCAGGTGTGAGCTGTGAGCACACAGGCGTGAGCTGTGAGCGCACAGGCGTGAGCTGTGAGTGCGCTGGTGTGAGCTGTGAGTGCGCAGGTGTGAGCTGTGAGCACGCAGGCGTGAGCTGTGAGTGTGCTGGTGTGAGCTGTGAGTGCGCAGGTGTGAGCTTTCAGCGTGCAGGTGTGAGCTGTGAGCGTGCAGGTGTGAGCTGTGAGTGTGCAGGTGTGAGCTGTGAGCATGCAGGCGTGAACTGTGAGCGTGCAGGTGTGAGCTGTGAGCATGCAGGTGTGAGCTGTGAGTGCACAGGCGTGAGCTGTGAGTGCGCTGGTGTGAGCTGTGAGTGCGCAGGCGTGAGCTGTGAGCACGCAGGCGTGAGCTGTGAGCATGCAGGTGTGAGCTGTGAGTGCGCAGGCGTGAGCTGTGAGTGCGCAGGTATGAGGTGTGAGTGCGCAGGTGTGAGCTGTGAGCATGCAGGTGTGAGCTGTGAGTGCGCAGGTGTGAGCTGTGAGCGCGCAGGTGTGAGCTGTGAGCGCGCAGGTGTGAGCTGTGAGCGTGTAGGCGTGAGCTGTCAGCGCGCAGGTGTGAGCTGTGAGGCGCAGGTGTGAGCTGTGAGCGTGTAGGTGTGAGCTGTCAGCGCGCAGGTGTGAGCTGTGAGCGCACAGGTGTGAGCTGTGAGCGCGCAGGTGTGAGCTGTGAACGCGCAGGCCTGGGAAGCCTCCAGTAGTGTCACACAGGCCCACCGAGGGGCTGCCAGCTGAGCAGGCAAAGACCCAGCCCACCTGGGCCCCTTCGGCTTTCCGAGCTCCCGACGGGAAGGACACACTGAGGTCAGCCCGGCTTCCCTTGGCACCATGGCCTCAGCTCCTCTCTCTGCCTCTCCCCGTTCTCCATCTCCTCGTCAGCCCCGCAACCCCGACACGCCTTCAGTGAGGGGCAAGGCCTCTTCCCCGTGTTCTCCCCTTTTAAGACGGGGTACCCAGACAGGCTTCCTCCTCCTCCCTGCTGCGGACGTACGATTGGAGCACCTGCGGATTCTTCCTGGGCGTGTCGCTGGCCGCCTCGGCGTCAGTGTGTCCATTCCCACAGGTCAGATCCCAAATGTTCCCCAGAGGCCCGTGTGTCAGAGCGTGGGTGCCGTGGGAGATGAGGACGATTGAACAGAGAGAGGCGGCGCTGCGGGCACGCCCGTGGAGGGGAGACCGGAGACCCTGGCGGCGCTGCGGGCATGCCCGTGGAGGGGAGACCGGAGACCCTGGCCTCTTCTCTCTCTGTCTGCTCCCTGGCTCCCATGAGTTCCTTCCCTGATCAATTGCTGCCACACGCTCAAAGCCACAGGAAGAGCAGTCAACCTCAAGCTGAAGCCTCTCAAGCCTAAAGAAACCTCTCGGTCACGGGGCTAACTGTGGAATGGCCATTCCGCCGGCAGATGCCTTCTGTTTTTCTAGCACTCAAAACTTAACTGATCCCAACTTTATCTTCCCTCATTGTGTTAGCAAATCTTAGGGAAGATTTTGTTTCCACTCGCAAGCCTGCATCCACATGAAGGTAGTGATCTTAAGAAAAAGAAAAGGCGGTGTCATGGGCATGCAGTAGGCTGGGAGATGGTGTGGCTCCTGCTTGCCGTAGCAGCATTCCTTCTCTGAAATCCATTCCTATTTCTAAATGATGCGACCAAGCACAGCCTTGGAGCCTCTGGATGCTTATTTACTTTTAATTTTAAAAGCATCAGTTTTATAGCACTCTGTGGTAAGTCACTTGACATGTACTGTTTTTATTTTCTAAAACATCCTCAGTTGCTTTGCCTACACGGCTGAGGTGTGATGTCACCACCTGACGCCTCCCCGGATTCCTTCAAGATACTAACACCGGAGCATCCATCACCACCGCCGCCCAACAACGATGACAGATGAGCGCTAACGCACACCTGCTACGATATAGCTAAGAAAGCTGCTCACCACACAAAGTCAAGGTCGCTGAGACTCAGGAAGGAAGCCTGTACCAAGTGGCAGTGGCACGCCTGTCACGATGCAGAACTCGAGTGGGAAGAAATGTGTGTGACACTAGTGGGCGGAGCCATGGGTGTGGGGCACACCGAGGCCAATTCCATTTAGTTTGGAAAAACAGGACACGTGGGAAGATGTGTTTCAGATTGGTGGAAATCAGGGCTTAATGAATCAGGACTTTTGAATGCTTTAAATTATGAACTAAAACAGGAATGAAGCTATGCTGGTGGTTCACGCTTCTCATCCTAGTTACTCAGAACCTTCAGATCTGGAAAATCACCATTTGGAGCCCATCTTGGCAAAAAACAAAAAGTGTATGAGACTGCATCTCTAAAATAACTACCAAAAAGCCATGCTGGAGGCATGGCTTCAGTGGCAGAGCACCAGCCCAGCTGGTAGAAGCAAATAAATCTAACATCTGTACAATACGGTATTCAAAACCACAGGTCTTAAGAGATGAGCTTTCCAGAGCTAGACACGCTCAGCCCCTTAGGGGGACTGTGCAGTGTGTATGAAGGTAGGCTCCAAAGTGTATGTGCTCCTGGGCTGAGCACTGTCTGTCGGCGATATTAAGGTGAAGTCAATTCATGGAGAAGGTTATTCTGTAGATCCAAGAATCTATGTTCAGACTGAAATTTCCATCATTAAATGAATGTCACTTTAGAATAAGAAGCATCCAGCCCAGGAGCTCCCGCGCCCTCCGGCTCCTGCTGCTTACCTGGTTCAGGACCTTCTGAAGGTGAGGGGTCCCCATGCGGTCAGCCATGTGTCTGTACGCCGGATGAGAGAGAAAGAACTTCCTCTCGGCCACAATGGCTGCTTTGATGTCCTTCTTCCCATCTATGTCCTTCTGGCTTCTGTTGACCACTCCCACATAACCTGAAACAGAACACACACCTGTGGTGCCCAGCACGCTTCCCATCACTACACACACACACACACACGTGTGGTGCCTGGCACGCTTCCTGTCTACACACACACACACACGTGTGGTGCCTGGCACGCTTCCTGTCTATACACACACGTGTGGTGCCTGGCACGCTTCCCGACTCTACACACACGTGTGGTACCTGGCACGCTTCCTGTCTACACACACACACACACACGTGTGGTGCCTGGCACGCTTCTGGTCCACACACACACACACACACACACACACACACACGGTGCCTGGCACTCTCCCACCTCGTATTCCAGGCAGATTTCAAGGCTTTCCAGCAGGCCCCAAGGGGCAGACAGAGCACTGAGGCCGGGGACTGAGCGGCCTGCACAGCGTTCTCTGAGGACATGGGCTTGCTTCATCACCACCTTTAATGTCAGAGCCACCTCCTGCCTTTCAGGAGGATCTGCCTCTTTCCCGCAGTGCCAAAGAGCGGCAAACATCAGACTCGAAGCACAATAGCGCTACACACATCGATAGACATGTCTGATCCCTCTTGAAACCTCTTTCACTACTTGTTCTCCTGATCTTGTTATTGCAAGGAAAGGTTCTCCTTCTGGGTCATTCTGTAAGGGGTGCAGCTAATAAGATCTCCACCCGTACAGCAGCGGAAGGCGTTCAAGCCAAGCGCCCTGGGCCCTGGGCCTGGCCGCCAAGCTCAGAACGCTACCCCGGCGCGGGCCCTGGGCCTGCCCGCCAAGCTCAGAACGCTACCCCGGCGCGGGCCCTGGGCCTGGCCGCCAAGCTCAGAACGCTACCCCGGCGCGGGCCCTGGGCCTGGCCACCAAGCTCAGAACGCTACCCCGGCGTGGGCCCTGGGCCTGGCCGTCCGAGCTCAGAACGCTACCCCGGCGCAGGCCCTGGGCCTGGCCGTCCAAGCTCAGAACGTTACCCCGGCGCGGGCCCTGGGCCTGGCCGTCCAAGCTCAGAACGTTACCCCGGCGCGGGCCCTGGGCCTGGCCGCCAAGCTCAGAACGCTACCCGGGCGCGGGCCCTGGGCCGGCCGTCCAAGCTCAGAACGTTACCCCGGCGCGGGCCCTGGGCCTGGCCGTCCAAGCTCAGAACGTTACCCCGGCGCGGGCCCTGGGCCTGGCCGCCAAGCTCAGAACGCTACCCGGGCGCGGGCCCTGGGCCTGGCCGTCCAAGCACAGAACATTACCCCGGCGCAGAGGCAGCAGCTTGTTCTCCAGCACGTCCCTGGCGTCCGTCCCCTCATCCATGAGATCCAACTTGGTGATGACGCCAATGGTTCTCAGACCTGCAGCACAAACAGACCCACCATTACCTGGCCTGCAGACGCGAGCACATTTTAGAGGCAGGCATGTCCCGGTGTGCAAGGTAAGGCTATATTCCTGGTCCTTAGCACTTATGTCTCTCCTTCTAATCTGATGTAACATGATAAAGAAGAGCTGCAATATCACCCAGGACTGGAAACAAGAGAGGTTTTCTCTTCATTGTTTTTTGTTTGCCTTTTCTTTTTGTCTTGTTTAGCTGTCCTTCAGAAGGTAAGGAAGGACACAGAAAAGGAGGGGCAAAGGGCGAACAAATGCAGCCGAGGTACTTACTAGTCCCTACCCACTATGTATCTTGTAGGTAGGGACAGAGGGAAAATCCAGGAACAAAAACATTCCTAAAAATGCTAATCCATCCTAAATATTTTCTTTTGTTTTCTAGAACAAGGTATTCCTTCTGTCATCCTAGGAGTTCAGCCCAGGCTGAGCAAAGAGTAATCCATGGCAGCTAGAAAGAGCGGGTGCCAAGTCCTAGAGAGAGGCCTCTGCTTCACACACACACACACACACACACACACACACACACACAACATGAATGTGATAGAATGTGATAGAATATACATAATGCCAAATGCTGGCCAAGGCACCGACATGGACATATTCAGACTTCTGTTGGAGAGGATAGAAAAGCAATAGCAAAATATATGTAGAAGACTGAAGATAAAAAAGTAACTATCAACTTCAAAGGGAAATTAAATACCTTAGCGAGCTGTGAGTAACATTCAGAATCCCAGCACCGTGGCTAACGCCTATCACCCTAGCTTCCTATGATTAGAAGGCTCCATCTAGTAGAGCCTGGGCATGGTAGTGCAAGCCTGTCATCCCAGAGTGAAGTAAAATAAGGAGGACCACAGTCCAGGAACATGCCCAGGCAGGAGGCAGCATCCAACTTAAAAGGGCTGGAGATACGACTCAGTAATAGAGGATCTGTCCACCAAAGCAAGGTGTATTGTATTCATAACTGTTTTGTTACGTGGCAAATCCTTTGTACAACTAAAAATATCATCAACGTGGACCACTTCCTGACGGCATGTCTGGTGGCAGCTGTGGCTGCTGGCAGAGCAGCCCGAGCTCCGGAGGAGGCCAGGAGAGTGGCTGAGCCTGCACGCCAGGCCTGCATCGTGCGCAAGCCTCCTGTCCTCAGATCAAGTGACTTGCTACTGTCCCTTTCTTCTAGCTTTTCTGGGGCCTTTGGTTTCCATTGGACCAATTAACTTGAGTAGGAAGAGCAGACTTTCACTGCCTATGAAATCCAGACAGAGGAAGGAGACAAACAAGAAGCAAGGTGAAAATATAAAGAAACTAAGAAATCTTTTCAGTGTTTTCTTGAAAATCTTAAGAAAATGACTCCCACACCCGATACAAGTAAGTCTCTGAATGAGGTGTGTGTGTCATACGTCCCTTCCAGTGGCTTCCCCACAGTAGACGACACTAAGTCTGAATGATTGTGAATGTCATGAGGTACAAAAAAGTCTCATAGTTAAGTCAATGTAGAATTTTAAGGAGGATTGGGGGGTATTCCACTTTGACTTCATTTCTGGACATGTTTTATATTTGTGTAATAGGCTGTTTTCATTAGTAGGTATATATTTTGGAAAATTGCTTTTACCTAGCATTAAGTTTACATTGCTTTATTATGTGTTTGGGAGGCATTAAATTTTTTGCAATAAATTACTACTTATTTTCAAAAATAATAGGAATAAAAAATGTTAGATTAATTTTTAAAAACACTGAGAGCGTGAAGCAAGGACACAGGCTGACGATGAGCTGAACACGGCACTGAACACGGCACTGTGCTGAACACGACACTGAGCTAAACACGACACTGAACACGGCACTGTGCTGAACACGACACTGTGCTGAACACGACACTGTGCTGAACACGACACTGTGGTGTACACGACACTGAGCTGAACACGACACTGAGCTGAACACGACACTGAGCTGAACACGGCACTGTGCTGCACACGACACTGTGCTGAACACGACACTGAACACGACACTGTGCTGAACACGACACTGTGCTGCACACGACACTGAGCTGAACACGACACTGTGGTGTACACGACACTGTGCTGAACACGACACTGAGCTGAACACGGCACTGTGCTGAACACGACACTGAGCTGAACACGACACTGTGCTGCACACGACACTGTGCTGAACACGACACTGAGCTGAACACGACACTGTGCTGAACACGACTTCACAACTCAGGGACGGGGGTGGGGCGGGGGAGGAAAGAGTTAGAGAGTGGGGAGGGAAGAAATGGAATGGTGGAGAAAAATAAAGGAGGGTGTCACAATGCTCAGTAGGAAATGGACTCATGACCTTACTCATGTAACTGTAACCCCTCTGTACATCTTCGCAATAAATATATATATATATTGAAAAAATGTTGAGAGCCAAGAGCTGGTGGCTCACGCCTGTCATCCTAGCTACTCGGGAGGCTGAGATCTGAGGATCGCGGTTCAAAGCCAGCCTGGGCAGGAGAGACCATGAGACTCTTATCTCCAATTAACCACCAGAAAACCGTAAGTGGCACCGTGGCTCCCACGGTAGAGCGCTCACCTTGAGCTGAAGAGCTGAGGGATGGCGCCCAGGCCCAGAGTTCAGGCCCACGACCAACCAGAAAAAAAAAAATGTTGAGGCCCCGAGTTCAAATGCCAGTACCAAAAACAGCAGCAACAACTGCAACGAAAAGTATCCATTCAAGCTACTTGGGAGGCAGAGACTGGAAAAAATATATACAGTAAGTCCCAATATAAATAAATAAAGAAGTAAAAACCTTGAGGAGACGCACAGGTATTTTAAAGTCTGATCGAGTATTCTGCTGACTATGGCACAAATGCATCAATTAACAGAGATTATCAGAATGCACAGAAAATACCTATAAAAAAGGTCAGCTACAGTAAGTTCGCAGCCTCTCTGCTTGGTAATGGCTCTGTGAGGCTGCGTCCCTGGATGGCAGGAAGCTGCTGCACCGCAGGGCGACGGCGCACCCCACACTCCTCCGGCGTTCAGAAGGCTGCACCGGTTCTCTTTTCTTCCTTCCTTTCTTTTCTGGTGGTGGTGCTGGAACTCGGAGCCTCGCGCTCGCCGCGCAGGCCTTCCGTTCTCATGAGCTAGGCCCTCAGCCCTGCTTCTGAGAGAGCGTCGTGCTGGGTGCCTGGGTGTGACCCGCGGGGGCAGTGTCCCGTGTCCGGGTGGCGGGCGCACCCCTTCACAGCTCAGCTCGCCTCTCACACGGCCATCACCCCAGCCTCAGCCTCTCAAGTAGCTAGCTTCACAACCATCAATCACCAGCGCCTGCCAAGAGATTCTATCTTTGAAAGACAAATTTTATGTGCTCGGTAACTCATTGAGAAAAGGGAGAAAAAAAATGACTCTGACTTAAAATTGAGTAATAGGTCTCCAGTCTGGCAAGCAAGGAGCTTGGATGTTACTACTCCATCCTAACAGCACACAGACAGCTGAACAAATGGAAAAACCAAGAGCCCTTCTTATCTGGCAGGGATGTGAGATCACAGAGAAACCACTGCCAGGAAGCTTTGGAGACAAATAACCACAGTCAGATGGCTCACACCTGTAATCCTAACTGCTCAGGAGGCTGAGATCAGAGGATCCTGTTTTAAAACCATCCCCAGCAGTAAAGTCCATGAGACTCTTTACCTCCCATTAATCAGCAAAAAAAAAAAAAAAAAAAAAGCTGAAAGTAGAGCTGTGGTCCAAGTGGTAAAGAGCTTATAGCCTTGAGCAAAAAAAGCTCGGGGAAGCAGCCAGGCCAAATAAATAATCCCAGCTTATCAGAGCAGAAACCCACAAGCAAAAGCTCCGTGGGCCCAGGGCTGGAGCAGGGAAACTGAGACCAGAAAATTGTAGGAAAAAGATCTCCAGACACTGCTGGTCAGCAACCAGGAGCCACATACACCTCGGTGAGGGGCAGGGACTAGAGCGCACTGCCTGGGGGCCATCCACATTTTTGCTAAGTCTTGCTTCTAGAACCTCGAGCAGGTTCTCAGAGTCAATGTTAGAGACAGGGAGATTGGGGAAAAACTGCCAATTTAAAAAGCACCAGAGCTGGTTAGCTGGAAATGAGACTCACAGTCTTTCCTGCCTCAGCTGGCTTCTAACCACGATCCTCACATCTCAGCCTCCTGAGTAGCTAGGATTACAGGTGTCAGCCACCCCCATCCAGCTTGGTTTTTGTGTTGTTGTTGTTGTTATTGCTGCTGTTTCTATGGCAGCTTGTCACAATAAATACAGCTGTTCAAAAAAAATAAATAAATAGATAAATAGAAATTAAAAAAAAAGTAGCAGAGCATTCGGCTTTTGACAGAACTGGCTTTAGGAGAACCTATTAACCAGATCTTCATCTGCTGGGGGTGGGGGCAGGGCAGGGGTGGGTTCAGAATCAAGCAGGTCTGAGAGGAGGAAGATACTGAGCCGGACCTAGCCATCCGGTCTCACCTAAGGGGTGAGGTGGAGACCATGAAACACTTAACTCTGTTCTCATTCCAGAGGTCCATGCCCACTAGACTCCTGAGACCTGATCACGGCACTATTGACCGGTTCTGCTCCCTCGGTATCTTACCGCTACGCTAAGGAAGGCCTATTTACCACTGCATCCTGTTCACAGTCCCCAAGGCCTGGCTATGGGGGAAAAGTTACAAAGTACACCGCAGAAACGGCCATTGGAAGACACAGAGCAAGCATCAGAACAAGATTCAGATGTGGCAAGGATGTTAAACTTCACACTTGGGAATTCAAAATAACATTGATTAATATCCTAAAGGCTGTATGAAAGAGTATGCACAGTCTGCAAGAACAGATGGGCAACTTAAGTGCTAAGAAAGAAATCAGAAAAAAATGCCAGGAAAAAGAAAAACCCACAGGAACCGAACACCTGTGCGAGGTCAGTGGTAGATTGGACACAGATGAAAACAGTAAGACTGAAGATGTCTCA